CCAAAAAGGTTTGCCACCACTGCTGTAGATGTACTGGAATATAACCCTGATGTTTACTGGCTGGGAATGATGGAAGCTGTAGTTTCGAACATCTTCTGGATACCAGCCCGTGAGACACTGGACTCGGCGTTTGGGCACGCAAGCCCAAAAAGGTTTGTCACCACTGCTCTAGATGTACTGGAATGTAACCCTGATGTTTACTGGCTGGGAACGATGGAAGCTGTAGTTCCGAACATCTTCTGGATACCAGCCTGTGAGACACTGGACTCGTCTGTTCTGCTTTTTGAAAACCAAATATGATGCAACTTATCACGTAATGTGGTATTGCAGAGACTTGAACAGTGTGACCTTTCAGTCTTTTCAGCTTAGGGGAGGGAGAGGGTAACAGTATAAACACATTTTGTGTGTATACCATGTGATATTTTATAGTATCTTCTGCTTTTTGAATGTTTTGTGACCATTGGTTTATTTCCAGGTCTCTGAACTCCGTCAGCAACTCCGTAAGCGGGGGCTCCCTGTTTCAGGCACCAAGCCTGCCCTGCTGGAACGTCTCAAGCCCTACCAGGTGGTCCGGTCCAAGCCCCCACCTGTCCCCCTCTCAAGCCCCCGACTGTCATCCTCAGACCTAGAAGAGGAAGCCCAGGCCCTGAGGGAGAAACAACGGCTTGCTGAGAACCTGGCTCTAAAGCTTCATCAGGAGCAGAAACATCACGACAATGATCTCCGTGTGGAGTTGGAGATGCACAAGCGGATCAAGAACCGCCGCAAAGGAGCACTACCTTCACCAAGCCAGCAGGGTGCGCCACCGCCTTATGTCCCAAAGCTCGAGACCGCCACTGATGCAGGAAGCCGGGAAGATGGTTTTATGGTGAGGAAGCCTGCATGACTTGGCTAATGATGTAAGAGGCAGTAAGGGGAAAGACACAGTGATGAGGAAGTGACAGGGTCGGTTCCACCCGTGCTGGTTGGGGGAATCTGGGATGTGTAGCCCATCCATGCTAGGTGAGGGAGTCTGGGAATTATAACCCAAAAAAGGTCCCACCCTCCCCCACAAAAAAAAGTCTGGTGTTAGTGCAGAGTGTTGGGAGCCTGCCTGTCTGAGATTTTGGAGTGCTATGCCACTAGAAGAATATAAGAGCACCTATTCTGGAACAGGCCAAACACATACAGTGATACCTCACTTAACGACGATAATTCGTTCCAGGAAAATCGCCATTAAGCAAAACCATCATAAAGCAAAATTAAAAACCCCATTGAAACACATTGAAACCCGTTCAATGCGTTCCAGTGGGGTAAAAACTCGCTGTCCAGCGAAGATCCTCCATACGGCAGCCATTTTCACTGCCTGTATAGCAAGGAATCCGTCCCTAAGCACAGCGGGGAGCCATTTTAAGCACCGGGTGGCCATTTTGAAAACCCGACAATCAGCTGTTTTTGATCGTTGTAAAGCGAAAATCGGTTCCCGAAGCAGGGAACCAATCATCGCTAAGCGAAATTCCCTCATTTAGACCATCGGTTTGCCATCGCAATTGCAATCACAAAAAGATCATTGTAAAGCGGATTCATCGTAATGCGGGGCAATCGTTAAGCAAGGCATCACTGTATCTAGTTCAGCAAGCCAATCACATGCCTCTGTTTAGGAAGCCCGCAAGCAAGACATGAGCATAAGGATGACTTCCTATTTGTGTTTCCTGCAACTTGTATTCACAAGCCTCCTGCCTCCAGTACAAGACATAACCTTTCTGGGTTGATGAAAGGCTAGTGTAGACAGGGAGATGGTTTTAGCTTTCATCAGTTTTGATGGCTCTGTCCCTTTAAAATGCCTTCTCTTGTAAAGTTGTTCTTCTTTCCGAAATTCAGACAAATGATTTACTCCTTTGCCACCTGATTATGAAAATATAATTACATTCCTCCATTTCCACATTAGCCTAAGAGAGCGCTGCTACTCAGTAGATTGCAAGCATCACAACTTCATTCTGTTGCTGCTTGTCTCAGATGACTTCCAGACAGCCAGGACCCTGGTCAGCTGCTGATGGGCCTTGAGCCGCCTCAGAGTGCCACCAGCGGATGAAAAAGGCAGCTGTTTGCACGTGCCCCTCATTTGACAAAGCAGATTCTAGGCATTCTTGGCATATTTTGCTTGAGAACCCAGTTTCACTCTGGTTGAGTCACATCAGTGAGGTGGGTCAGAAAAATTCCTGACAGGCTCTGGCCTAGATTGACCCTTTTGTATCACTTCCCTTTTTCCTGATAGGTTTTATGTCCTCCAGCCTGTGAGCCCATTAATTCTGATCTGGAGCTGCCCCTTGAAATCACAGCCAGTCCTCCTGACCCAGCCCCACCAACCCGTTCTCTTGAAGAGGAACTCCAAGAGGCCATCCAGAAAGCTCAGGTATGGCAGGGGGCAGAGGGGGGAGGCACCACCTCACCTTAAACCTTGACTCTTTTGTGGTCAGTCCACTTCCTTCTGACCTTTTTGATTTGCCTGTAAACCTGAGACCCACATGCAGAGCTCATGTCTCCCAGTGTTATTTCTACTGCTGCTCCTGGTACATGTGTCAGAAGGGAAAACCCTTGAAAACGAATTGGGAGGTTGAGGCTCCTATTGATACATCTGCCTCAAACGACAATTCTAAATACCTGCGCTGTGAATGAGAGCCCTCCAGAAGAGCTCCTCCCCCCCCACCAAACTGCTTGCAGGAGTGGGCTGAGCAAATGGATCTTTTCACAGTTGGCTGTTTCCTCTTTTTGCGCAGCTGGTGCCCAGCCAGTCCATTGAAGACATCTTGGAGGAACCACTGGTGTGTACAGGTGAGAAAATATCTCCAGTATCCTTGTTTACCACCTGGGACTTCAAAATAGGAATACATAAGGAAAAGCTTAGCAGTACAGGTCAAGCTTCCAGAAGCAAAGATGAAATGATACTTGTCGGAATGCCTACTCCCACCAAGAACTACCCCATCACTCGCTCGAGTCAGGAGGTGAGGCTGAGGAACGCCGAGGGAGGTCCGAAATGAAAAGACAAGAAATAGGGCCTTCTCGGCGGTGGCTCCTCGCCTCTGGAACAACCTTCCTCCAGAGATTTGTGAGGCCCCATCGCTGGGTATTTTTAAGACCCATCTAAAACTTGGATGTTTAAGTAGGCTTTCCCTCCAGATAACACTCAATCTTTCCTTCTTTAGTTTTGTGATATTGCCATCTTGAAGAATATGTTTATTGTTTGCTGCCTATTGTTTAGTGTTTATAGTATATTACTGGGTTTTTTTCTTTTTTAAATTTTTCATTTGTTATATGTATACGTCACTGTATTTTATATGTCTGGAAACCGCCTAGAGTGGTCATATTGACAAGATAGGCGGGGTACAAATTAAATAAATAAATAAATAAAAATAAATGAAAGTCTATTTTCTAAAGTGTGAGGTGGAGAGGCCATGGATGTCAAATCTACATCAATAAGTTTTTTTTTCATTGAGGAGAGGCAGATATTTGGCACATGGCCAGATGGTTATCCAAATGCTCGTTTCACATGGCACAGCACAAAATCCTGGGCAAGAAACAGGTGATGGGGGCTCATCTTTTGTGAGCCTCAACACCAAGGATGTCCGGGTTTAGAGGGCGTTTGGGGAATTTTATGTGTGTGCATGTGTCTGGTCTCTGGGTGTCTGTGAATTTCGTTGTATGTGTATATACTTACAATGACAATAAATTATTATTATTATTATTACATCCTCTCTTTCTCCTCACCTGCTTCTAGGTGACCTTCTTCAAGCACCTGCCTTGACTTCAGAAGTCTCAGATGACCGAGTTGCCCCATCTCCACTTTCCCATCAAGAAGCATCACCACCGAAGAAACCCCGCCCCAGCAGTGATCTTCCCTTGACGGCCTCTACCATCTTTGACTTCCCTGGACCTTATGATCTCCTCTCAACAGCCTCTTCCTCATCTGCATCACTGGACTCTCTGTCCACTGTTTTCTCCCCTGACTCTCTGGAGATGCCCCCCTCTCCCCCAAATGCCTGGCAGAGGAATGGGACCCATGCTGGATTTGATCCTGTTGATTGGCTAGAGGCCTTGACCTCAGGTTCTGCATCAGGCCTGGGTTCTACTAGCCCTGCTGGTGGCAGCATCTTCTGTACAGACTTCTTTGATTCTTCTGACCTTGGTGTTAACCACATGATAGACCTAATGGTGGAGCAGTGGTAGATGGAGTACTTATAGTGGCCCATCTGGATCTCCAAGACCTGAAGGAAAAGGGGGACAATCCTCCTTATGCCCTGCAAGGTCACAGTAGCACTGGATACCATCTTGGACAAGAATGATGGTCTTTATGGTCAGCATCAAGGTTCATCCAAGATGGACTTGTTTCTGCTAAAGGCAAGTCTAATCACTCCCTTGGAAGAATTAAGTTGCTGCTGTTTGGGTTGTGTTAATTCCATATCTCATCCTGAATGTCCAAGCAATCCCAGAAACATTTGTTTACCATCATGTGTCCATCCTGAGACACAAAGAAGCAACATCCAGAAGGCCAACAACCAGGCAGCCCTGTAAAATCATAGATCAGGATTAATTAAAGCATATGTTTTTCTGAAATGTCAGCTTCTTACGATATCTTGAACAAAGCCAAAGTTTGGAATAGCATTGATTTTTGGATGCCATCTTGGCTGGAAACCAAACAGTTGACATCTGCATTCTTAATAACTTAGGATGCTATCTTGGCTGGAACCAAGCTGTAAATTTCAGAATTCTTAACAACTTTGAACCCATCTTGGATTAAAATGCTGGCGTATCCATCTTGCTAATTTTACTTGCCATCTTGATCCTTAAATGTCTGCGTCATGAAGCCCTAACAGCATAAGAAATGCGGTGGACCAAGACAACTGCATATTCAAGAGGCTGTGTCAATATCAACATTGTACACATCCAATTCCAGTAATGTAGGTACAGTGTAGTTGAGGATGAGAAACTCTGATTCTCCATTGGTTGAGGTGTGCCATCTTGTTTTATCAAAGGAAAGTGCCAACTCAAAAAATAGTTTGGATTGTGCCATCTCAGTTCCCTGTGCCAAGGGAGAAAATGCTGTAATTTCCAGAGGCCTCCTTGAATGGAATGCACCACCAGCAGCAACCTTATATTTTTGTGAAATAGTGGGAGAAGGATACCAGATCCTTGTCACGTCTTCATAGCTGGTCCAAAGAGTTGAGACTGGAAAGGGTGCCACTTTCAGAAGATTGTGAAATTCTAATTCTTCAATTATTATTTCCATTTTTACTTGCTGTTACACAAAACGGAGAGCATAAACATTATTTGGGTCAGAGGGTGGCGTTGTGTGCCATCTCCCTAGGAAAGCCGGATATGATGGGTCCACTTTCACAGAGAGATAGCAGTGGTGGGTCCTGTCCCAGTAACCCAAGGTTGCTGGGAAATTTATACCAATAGCATTATGGAAGGATCAGGGCACAGCTGTGGTAACAGCTCATGATATTTGGATACATGGAGCATATCTAACCAAAGACTCAGTCTGGTTTAATAACAAATCATTCCATCTCCACTGGATTTCCTGGGAGTTGTAGTACTGTAGGATTCTAGAGCAATGTCTCTCCTTCCAGATGTTGTGTTGCAACTCCCATTAGCCCATTGCTAACATAGCTAATGACAGATGAGAGTTCAGCAACATCTAGAGGGCTGCATGTTTCTCCTCCTTCCTCTGCAGTCACGTAATCTTTGCCAGGATAATACTATTCTGGAGGAGAAGGGTGGAACCATGGCAGTTTAAGTGATAAAAAATGGTTACAACATGGAAAGTAGATATGTTCTTAGGGTGTGCGTACACCTGCACTCTCAAACTGAGACAGCATCCAGATCTGCAATAACAGGAGCTAGTCTGCAGTGCACAATGTAGTCTCATACCATTACTGTCTCATGCATACAACCAAGGTAAAAGAGAAAACACATTTTGCTTCTCTGAAGGAGAAAAGATACACATGATTCCTGACTAGATGGATATCTACAACATTATGGACTATCTCTCCCTTACCTCCCAATAATAATAATAATAATAATAACAACAACAAGAACAACAAGAACAACAACATTTAGATAAGTAAATAGATACTATATGATTGTTCAAGTTGTGTAATAGTATAAAAGGCTTCAACAAACAGAAAAATTGGAACAGTCCACTAGAAGCACGGAGGGGAGACGTCAAATTTAATAACAACAACAACAACAACAACAACAACAACAACAACAACGTTTAGATAAGTAAATAGATGCTATATGATTGTTCAAATGTGTAATAGTATAAAAGGCTTCAACAAACAGAAAAATTGGAACAGTCCACTAGAAGCACAGGAGACGTAAGAAAAATTGGAACAGTCCACTAGAAGCACGGAGGGGAGACGTCAAATTTATTTATTTATTTAAAATATTTATAGCCTGCCTTTCTCCTCAAAAGGATCCAAGGTGGCTAACAATATTAAAACAAACAATATTTTGAAAGAATTGACAAGAAGACCAGTGTTTTCAATGGTGAAAATATATCTGTTATATAAAGAATGGAAACCAAGCCCACCTCAGTGAGGGAAGAGAGTGCACAGAGGCTCCTGTTTTTATGTAGGATCCTAGTTACTGTCGGGGTGGTTCACTCCAGTAATCTCATCGCCTGTAATGTACATGATTTGCACTTTCACTTTGACGTACATGCTGTCAACTTGTCTGTTTTTTGAGAGTGGAGGGTAAACACATCTCTAATGGCAAGTTACCCCTGCAGCCTGAGGGACAGGAGGACCTCTGTGGTCTCCACTTATGATTTTTGCCAATCACTCCCCGATTTTGATGAACCAGCCGAAAGGCTACGAGGAGTTGACACACAACATGTGGAACTGCAGGGTTGTACTCCTTTCAGAGGGTGGTCTCCCTTGTCCTCCACAAGCAGGGAGCTCCCATGGAAAGAACGTGCATGAACATCACAAGGAAAACGACCGTATACCCTATGTCAGAGCTTGGAAAAGTTACTTTTTTAGAGTACCGTTCTCAGAATCCGAACTTGGAAAAGTTACTTTTTTGGAGTACCGTTCTCAGAATCTTCCTGGCAGCATGGCCTCTAACCATGCTAACTTGGGGATTTTGGGAACTGTCAGTTCAGTCTCCTAAACTCTGTATGCATTTCCACCATAGAGACCTTCTGAGTTTTGTACACATCACTTCTGTCTCCTGCTCACTCTCCAAATAAACACCTTTTCTCGCTGCCTCATATATGGCTGGATTCTTGTCTGTTTACCCACTTATAAAGTTAACTTTGGTTGATTGAATTGTTGTGGTAAAGACAGATAAAATACTTGCTAAATTATTCATTCTTGTTGGTTCTGGTTGTCCTGACACAACAAACATCTGGATGGAATTCTGAAGCTCTAAGGCAATTGTTCCCAACCTTTAATAACCCAGATGTTCTTGGACCACAACTCACGGAAAACCCAGCCAGCCCATCTGGTGGAGAAGGCTTCTGAAGATTGCAGTGCAAGAACATCTGTGCTTCCCAAGGTTGGGAACCACTGCCCGAAGAGGTTCCTTTCCTCCAGCTGAAAGCCAGGCAGAGTTCCTCTCTTCCACTGCAGAGTCTCCGTTGTTCACCCTTTGGGAAGCCAAGCACACACAGCAAGTACAAAAAGGATGGGACGATTGTTGAGAAAGATGCTGACAACTCATTTAGTGCTTCAAATGCCTAAATATACAGCAGTCATCCTAATTCCGAGCTATTTCAGTGGGTTCTTGACTTGAGAACTTAATCTGTATTGGAAGGTGGTTCTCAAGTCAAAAAGTCTGTAGGTCAAGTCTCCATTGACCTACAGTGCATTGAAAACCGATTAATCCCGTAACAGGCCATTTTTGTTCCAGTTTGGTTTTTTTCTGGTCTGTAAGTCAATTCTCAGGCTGCAAGTCAAACCTAAATTTTGCGGCCAGAGAAGTCTGTAACTCAAAAAGTCTGTAAGTCAAGCCGTCTGTAAGTCAAGGGTCCACTGTAGTGCAACCTGCAAATTGGGCAAAGTTCTCACCTATGTGAGAACTCTGTCAAAACCTGCAGGAAATTCCTTGCTACCCTCCACCATGTAGAGAAGAAAATTCCTTGTCTTTGATGGCAAGAAAGAGAGTAATGAGGATTGACATCCCTAGTTGCAGGCATATCACAGACCTTGTATGGGAAGAAACTTGGTGAGCTTGAAGAAATCACTGGAACCTGAGGTCACGGGAAGCACATCTCAGTAGCCTACTATTGGGTAGGGTGAGTCAGGACAAGAAAAAAAACCACAAGTCTCCCTGCCTGTTGCTGTCTCAGCCCTTGCCCTGAGTATGCTATCTGCCTGCCGTTAGCAGAAAAAGAGTCAGTCCAGCCTGTCTGCAATCTCCAACCTGGCTGTATCCCTATAGATTCTTCACCTGGTCTGCTTACAGATGCTCCTGGGGTCCCTAGCTTTGCTGCAGGTATCTTTCTCTGCCTGTTCCTCCTTCTCCAATCTGCCACATCCTGATGCCTCCCTACATTCTTGTGTGTTTGTGTTTTCAGAGAGGAAACCTAGTTTTGGAGTGAACTATTGGATAGTTCAGTGGTTTAGAAGAAACTGGAAGTTCAATTCCCCACTTGTGCCTCTGTGACAAGGGCTGGACTCAGCGATCCACGGGGTCCCTTCCAGCTCTGCAGTTCTAAGATGACGATGACGATGGAATAATTCAATTGGGATAGGTAGTGAATACTCTTTCTCTGGCTTGTACATTTCTGTTTGAACTAGATTCCTTTCTGAGGCTACTTGTCTTCAGAAATAGCAATGTTGTATATAAATGTACAGTTTTTCCCTCAAGTATCCTGACTTCCCAGTTCTGTTTCTCCTATTCTGTCATTTCCCCCAAGAAAGACATCTGCCTGATAAGTTTTCCTGCTGCCATCTACTGAACCTTGATTTTCTCCCAGAGAACCCAAACAGAGTCTGTATCTGGTAAAACATGCTGACTGTCTTTATAAATAAATGAACAAAGTTAGTCTAGACCTTTACAACACAAAGAGAATTTGGGGAAGTCATTGACATGGGAGGAACTTGAAAGGGGGAAGGCTTCATTTTTCTGAGGAGTCACTCTCGCTCTCACTCTCACTTTCATCATCATCTTCCTCTTCTTCATCTTTGTCATCATCTCCATCCTCCCTCTTCCAACGGTAATAACAGACACTATAAAAAAAGAAGTATGCAGCAGGAAAAACATAAAACAGCACATTTCAAACTTTTTTTTAATTTTAGAGAGTATTTTCCAACTGATCTGTGGGTTAAATCCTGCATACCTGTTAGGGTGACCCAGCTGTCTTGCAAAAGATTTAGAGAAATGTTCTAGTGTGTGTGTGTACACAGCTCACATTGCTGTCCATGCCAGTTGGGTCTTAGCATTGTTTGCACAAATGGAATGCAGCTTAGCCTGTTAGCCCCAGAGTGGCTAACCTCTGTTGAAACCGCAAGGCATTATGAGGCTGACAGTCTCTCTCTGTCCATTATTGCTCTAAAACAGAGTACCTCTCAAAGAACTACCAGCCCCATAATGCCTTGCAGGTCCCACAGAGGTTAGCCTCTCCTAGCCACCACCTCCTTCTTCATGGACTCAACAGCATGGCTGAGACAAACCAATCATCCTCCATCTGCAAGTGACTAAACACAGCTGTGAGGATTTTGATTTTGGATGTCTGGCTGAGTAATTCCTGCAGATGTCTGGGGGCCCTAGTCCAAACATTCTGAAAGTTCTGTGCCTAGATAGATGTCAACACAGCCTGGCTATAGTTTTTCAAGGTTAAGCTTGGGCTGTACAGCTTGGCAAAGTTTATTTCCCCGAAGTACAAAACAGCTTTGGGAAGGAGCCCATTCTCAACCAAAAAGCAGTAGGTGGGAAGTGGATCCTTAACTCTTTCCTCACTGGATGCTTTTCTACATCCATCTCTCATCTCTCCAAGCTGTGCCAAATCACTTATTACCATCTTGAAAACCTCTTCTGCCCTCTGCAGTGTTCTGAACAGGCTTGCGGGGAGGTATCGGGAAACGGAAATGGAAAAAAAACAACAACTGAACAAATTTCATTCTATCAGCAATGCTGTACAACTCAGGAGACTGTTTGAAACAGACATTTAAAAGGCTCTGGAGACAAGACCAGTGATACTGTTTTCCATCATGGGGATTGCATAGGTGGTAAAATGCTAAGACTCACAAAGCAACAACAATAACGACAAGCAGCCCTCCTGTGCATCCAATTACGATCCAAGCTGTCCAGTCTTCTTTGGGTAATGGGGCCCTGGAAGAGACACCTAGGACGAGGGGCCCTTCCATTGTTGCCGTGCCTGGCCGGGTGAACCAGGTGGTCTTCCGGACTGAAGGCAACACTGGAGGAGGAAGAACAGAAGGATTAGAAAGGGAAGCATGGGTAGGAACACGTCTTGGAAAATGCAATGCTGGCTAGGGGATTCCGGGAGTTTTGGGCCCCAAGAGGAACTTTTCTAAGTTCTGGTCAGAAAATAGGAGTTGGAGCTTCATTTCCTGGGATCAAATAAAATGATCTTCACTTCATTTGTGACCTTGAATTAAACAGCGAGGCTAATTCATTGAAACCCTTTTCAAAACTATTTGAAAGTCTCCCCTGCTTGATCAGGCAACACATTTTGAAAATAAATTTACAAAGTGCTGGTGTTCTGCTGGGTGCCATCTGGCAAAACGTGATCTTTACTACCCCATCCTGTGTTCGCAGAACTGTATAGCAGGGTTTGAGGCCTGAATGGCTTAACAGCATCCCCTGTTGCCAGTGCAATGCCTGAGCCTGTGTTCTGAATCATGTCATTGCTCTGCGATGTATGAGCACTGCCTGTTCCAATCTTCTCCCAACCTATTGCCTTCTAGCTCTTTTAGCCTCTAACACTGTGGTCTTCAACCTTGGGCCTCCAGATGTTCTTGGACTACAACTCCCAGAAGCCTTCACCACCATCTCTGGTAGCCAGGATTCCTGGGAGTTGAAGTCTTAAAACATCTGGGGGCCCAAGGTTGGTGACCAGTGACCACACAAATCCCATCACTCCTGACTGGCAGTAGCTGAAGTCCAAGAAAGGCCTTCCCCCATCCTACTGCCACCTGAGGTTCTTTACCAGCCAGGTTATTGTTTGTCATGGTGAAGTTTGTATACTCTGTCAGATGTGTCCTTTCTCAAAGATATGGATGGGTGCAAAGTCTCCACAGACATAAACTACTCGCATGCTGGCTGAGGATGATGCAGGATGTACCTTGAGACATCTGGAATGTACTAGATAATCTGTATGGGTTTTACCATGTAAATGTTGAAACCAGCTGGCAAAACTAAGAATTTTAGGCAAAGGGCATCTGCCTCTCTCTGTCTCCTTAGCCCATAAACAAACTCAGTAGCAGGAAGCCACAGGGGACATCAACGGGCATAACAATGGCACCATCAACACCACCACCAACAAAACCAATACATTTCTAATCACAAAAACTTCCCTGGTTACTTGAAAATGAGAAAAATGATAATTATTTACTCCATTCCTAGTTTATTAGTTATGTTACCTTTCAATCAATTAATCCAAGGCTCTCCCCTCCATATTATCCTTACAGCTGCTCTGGGGGGAAGTACAAGCTGAGAGAGAGAGAGAGAGAGAGAGAGAGAGAACCTGGCATAGGTTCACCCTGTGTGTTTCATGGTCCTTTAAGATTGTCAACCTGGACTTCTCACGCCTCTCTATTACACAACAGTAGTTTCTTCTCTCGTTAGAATAAGTGCAGCAATCATCACTGGGGGATGATGGACAGTTAGCTAGGTGGAGATTTGATACATATCTTAGCTGCTCTTGGTTTCCTATAAGTGAAAAGTTGTAGGTTGTTGCCCTTAGCTCACTCCTTCCTTCAATCCTTTACTCATCTTCAAAGGAATAGCTGGTTCTTTGTTTTTTCCTTTGCCTGGAATAGAAAGCTCACCGAGGGTACCTCTGCTTTAGCCTTCTGCACACTTGCCCATATAGAAACAATCTCTACAGGCCCCTGTACTCAAGTTTGGGTTTCATCTTAAATGGATTTCTTGGAATAAGGAATGTAAATGTTTCCTTACCTTATCATGGGCCTCCTGAGGAATTATTCCTTATTTGATAGATATCAACTCATCTTATTAGCCTGTTAGATCCTGCCACCATAACCATCATCACTGTCTATACTAATGGGTTGAATGTCTCCCTTAGATTTCAGAGGGTCCATACAAACACCACAGCATTTGGCTGCCATCTTGGAAAAGCCTTCCAATCCGTGTGAGAGAAAAGTGAGAAGACACGGCAGCAGCGATGGGCAAGCACCAGAGATCTTGGCACCACCTCGTGCCTGTCCTGGACCCAGGTGAATGACAACCATGACTCCCTCTCTCCACAAACTGTTGTTTTTTTTAATTAACCAAACCTCCATTACCCTCAAAACACCCCCCCTTTTTATTTATTTAAATTGAGAGGTGTGGAACAAGGATGTGGGAGAGCCCCTGAAAACACCACAAAATGGTCCAATTCTCCCCAGAGACGACAAGAGAACTTTTCCCAGCCTTTTTTGTTTTAAAATGGTCTTACATTTTGTGTTTGTGTGCAGGGTCCTGGGGTGCTGAGGGGCCACAAGTTGGTTGTTCCTCCCTTAAAAGTGGCGTATTTAGAGAAGTTCTTCAGAAACCCACACTCACTTTACTCACCGACCACTTGGAAATCAAGCTGGCTGGCCGGATGTCCTTTCGGGTCCAGCATTTCGCACCGATATCTGCCTGTGTCATTTATGTTTGCCTCTTTCTTGATCAGAAAAGAATCTGTGCTACTAGCCATCATTTTCTGTTCTCCATTCACCACCTGAGGGGAAGGACAAGGCTGGACTGGAACATCCCCTCATAGGGAAAAGCTGCTCTGAATGCACTTTGAATGTTTTTCTCCTGACAAGCCCTGATAGGCCCTCCTTCATCTCATCCCTTCTCCACCCGTCCTGATAACATCTCTTTTGCTAGCTACGAAAGTCCTAATCAAGGGCTGTCATTTACAATCATATTCATATCATAAGGGGTAGCTCAAAATATCTTGCTGCCTGAGGCAGAACAGCATATGGCAACTCCCTAGCCAGCAAAGTCAAGATACACTGCAATTATAGTTAGGGGAATGATTTTTGGCACATCACCCCACCTCTAGTGACTACAAATACAATAAAACAAATTAACAACCCTTTGCCCCTTTTGGGATAATCCAAAGCAGCTACCTGAGGCCGCCACCCCACACTACCTAAGGGTAGAGCGAACTCTGTCATCTCATCTTCTTACAAAACTTGGGAAGTCAACACAACTAGCTGCAACTCCTGAATCATTCAGGCTTGGAGCAAGGGATCTGTCGGTCGGTCTGAAATTCTTTTACCCTGCCAGTCTCTTTCAAACGGACCCAAGGCAGCTTACATTATTAGAAGACAATGTTTAAAGCTAAAGACAGTAAGTACGGGAATATTAAAAATGGAACAAACAAATGCCGCACTTTAAAAAAAAATAAAAGCAACATATTCAAAGCAGTAAGACACAACTGGCCATCAAAACAACCCCACTCAGGCAGCTGGTCCTTTCATTGCTTGCCAAGAATGGTCTTTGCCTGCTTTCGGAAGGACAGCAAAGATGTGGGAGGGAGTCCCAAAGTCTGGGAGCAGCAACAGAGAAGGTCCTCTCCCGTGTCCCCACTAGAGATGGACATAACGAGGGTCCCCCACTCTTCGACTTTGCAGTGAGGCTCGTCCTCCCACCTCCTGCCAGGAGTGGCTCGCAGACCGCAAGCTCTGGAGCAACAGGAAGGGAGCACAAAGCCTGCAGCAACAGCAGAAGGTGAGTAGACAGTGCGGCCCCATTGGAGCTGGACTCTCATTCTGTCCACCTCTGTGGGGTTATTTGTATATGAATACAAATACCCCCATCTCCAGATGCACCTGTGAAGATGGTAGACTGAGAGAAAGGCCTCTCCTAATAATCTTAACTCCCCGGCAGGCTCAGAAAGGGAGACATGGTCCTTGAGATAGCTTGGACCCAAACCATTTAGGACTTTATAAATTAGAAGCAGCATTCTGAATTGTGCCTGGAAACTGACCAGCAGCCTTGACCAAGGCTGGCATGGATCAGACAAGGAGCGAAGGCCCACTCCAGCCCAAGAGCGAGACATTCTCCACTTCCCATATCACCGAGAGTTGGGCAAGGAACCAAGATGAACCATGTTTAATTCCCTCATCGGAACTGGACTAGCCGCTCTACCTAACAGGACTGCTGTGACTGCAAATAGGAAGGCAGACCTATGCTTCTTTCCAATCAGGGCTCTACAGAGGTGGCATAAAATCATAGACAGGCCCACCCTTAGAAGGAGGCACAGATCAAAATAGATATACTGTAGTAACAATACTGTAGCAGAACTTTGCAGCTGATTTGGAAGAAGGCGGCTTCTTTGAAGCATTTACTCACTCGGAAGAAGTTATATCGCTTCACACCGTGACTTGCCTTGTGCCACGTCAGAGCACAATCCAGAATCAGATCTTCATCCATTTCCACTTGTACCCTCCTTTCTGTAAAATCCATCAAGATCTATTCCACTGCCAGGCCTCATCAGCTGCTATCTTAACTGATCTGTCAAATCTTAAACCAAACCAAATCAAATCTTAAATTGGATCCGTAGACCTGTCCAGCCTGTCATCAGGACTCATTTTCTGATCCCCTTGGCTCATGAATATCCTGAATTGAATGCCTCATCTTTTGTATCTCAAAGCCAAACAGGACAATACATTTAGCACTTTTTAAAAAACAGGTTGCTCCCTCAATTGGAAAAAAAATCTGTTTGCAACAGATGATTTTTCTCAACTCCAAACCTTGCCTTTAGTGTGCTTTGTTTAGGGATTAGTCACTGGAAGGTAAACAGAGACTTAATTTGCAACTCTTATTACTAAGATATATCTCTCTGAGAAAATCTCGCTATGGAAAAGAATAGATTAATAACGGGAATAAATATTCCACTCACTCATCATCCACTTTGACCCTCAAATCCCGTCGGTCTCTATTTTTGGTTTTACCAGCTCAGATCTGTGTGCCCATTTCAAAATCTCTAGATTCTCACCTCCACACTTAATGTTCTTGGTACACGAGTGAGAATTTGTCCAGCAGGAGAAGCAGTTGATAAGCACGTAAAACATGCGACCTGTAGGATAGGAGTTTTATTTGGAGATGATTAGAAAGTGGAGGAATTGTTTTAGCGTGGAAGCGCTAACAGAAGAACCGTGGAAGAACTATGGATTCCAAGGGGATGAAACTCGGCAGATTAGTGAGCAGTTGATAATCATTCCCTCTGACTAGACTGCCTGAGAGTTTGCCAAAAATTTTATCCAAAGATGTAATATTTTCAGGGTCTGACAAGGCAGTTTGATAGAAACAGTTTTTTCCCCTTCTCTGCCTACTAAGGAACCTTTTCCCTTTCATTGTATTGGAGTCATTGTACTGTTTATTTCCCTGGTATGGGTGAGAAAAACCAGACATCTGCGTCCTCTAGCTTCTGGGACTTCTGCAACACTTTTTCCTGGATTGCCATGGGCCTGGTGGGAAGAAATTGATGTGTTTTTGCTCTGAGACACCCATAGCTCAAGGAAGAGATTCTGTATATAACAAGCTGTTATAATGTTTAATGTTTTTAAAACCACTAGGAAAAGATTCTTAGTCTGCTTGAACTTACTAAAGCCATGAAGCCTCCCACCTCTTTTTCTTTTCCATATTAATTCGCCTTAGGGAGTATTTATCACAACTTTTCAACTCTCAAAAATATATCCTTTATATACGGTAATGTACTGGGAATAGCAACCAGTTCATGCAATGGGAAAAGGCATTTGTGTGGGCTGAATTTCTCTGTGAAAAGATCTATTTCACTTGTTTGTTTGCTTAAATATTTGTCACTTTTGTATTCACCAAAAGGATGCACAATCTGTCAAAACGTAATTTAAAAAGGCAGATTACAATAATTGAAATATATACTTAAAAAAAAACTCAAGAACATTTTAGATCATAAAAAATAGTAGAGTTCGGGCTGCCCATCAGAAGCTCGATCAAGATGAAGCTAGGCTCACTTCCCTTTGGGAGCGAGTTTCACAAATAAGGTGCTACTACAAATAAATTCTGTAGCGGCACCTTATTTGGTGCTGTTTATTTGGTGAATATTCTTGTATATTCACCAGACCAGCCTCTCATGGCACTTGATGAAGTGTACCTTGCCTTGGAAAAGCATACATGAGATGTGTAATGCATTTTGGTGTAGAAAAGATGCACACAAGCCATGGTACATTTCGAAAATGTGCATCACTAAAGTAGAATACATTTGAAAAATCAGGGCTGCCTCTGTTATTTAGCTGGACTGAAGTGACTGCATCAGGCACAAAAGTGTTGGGGACAGCAAATACTCCATCTCCTCTACCCTCCTATATAGGTAGGCTGTGGAGAAGGGTGTAGATGCCTCCTCACCTCTAGTGGGGTTCCTCTGCAAGGCTGGGCAGCATGATAGTGGTAGTGGGTGGCAGTACTTTGATTCCTGACTCAAGGATAGAAAAGAGTGGGTTCTCTCTCTCAAAAATGTACACAAGTGCAAGAACAATGAAACAAAAACTGATAAGTTTTTACATCCCTGTCACTTTATTTTTGCTTTGCTGAGTACGTCTAAGAACTGCTCTCCCCACCTCGCCCCATGAAGTGGGAAGTAATATTTGGTAAGTTGTGACAAGGAGGGAAATACAAGCATTTACAAATGCTAGAAAACTCTGGGGGAAACGACATGGGCATTTGTCCCACTGTTTGGTCCACTGTAGGAATGGGCTGGTTTACTCCTTTTGTCAGCAACCAGGTGACATAAATGCAAGTTCGAACCAGTCCATTCCCAGAGCAGTCCTACCTGCACCTTTCTGGTTCTCTGACAGGGGTTATTCTTTTTTAGGTGCTGTTAGGATCACTCCGTTTTGGTTTGTTTCCAGCACGTGCAGCCACTGGGATCAAACCAAAGCAGAGCCTGCTGCTTTCAATATCCCCGACACTTTCAATTTACCAATATCATTAAGCTTAGCCACTTAATGAAATAGGAAAATCAAAAATTCATTCCGTCTCTCTAGTTTTAAATTTCCCAATAGTTTTTTTTAAAGAAAACTTAGCTTCTTCCCTCTGTACCTTTGCAGGCAAGGTTGTTATTTTTTAAAGCTTATTATTGGGGCCATGAAGAGTCGGACACTATGTACTTTTGGAGGTGGTGGGAATGAAAAATGTGAAAGCTTCCTTCCAGAAGTTGAAGGAGAGAGGAATAAGCAAGGAGCGTTTTTGTTTGCTTGTTTGTTTTTGTTTTCCTTACTTGCTTAAGGGAGGCAGGCTAAAGAGAGTCACTTGAAGTATGTGTGCTATTTCTCTACGTGACCTTATTTAGCCCAGTCCAGCCCACTCCAATTGAGCTGTCTAGCCAAGTCCTCTGTTTAATCATACGAGGAACTTCTTTCCCGCCACCCACATCCTCCCAAAATGACACTCACCACATTCATTGCTGCAATAAACTGCAAAAAGAAATACAATGGAAGAAGAAAGTTAGAAATGCTGGGCTTCTCCTTTCTTGTGTCAAATACGTAGATCTTCTTATTGGAAGGTTGTATATAATAATCAATATCTTGATTTTCAATGCAGGAATTATAAACAATTTAGTAGCACCCAAACTACATTTCTGATCCAATGAATTCTTAGCATCTTGCAATAAATCCACATAATTTTTTATATTCTCAAAGCAAATTTTAATTTTTGATGCATATTACATTATTTTTCTTCTGACAGTCGCCCTGGGCCATTTCTATTCTGAATTTATTGTTCCCCTATGAACTCTCTGTTCACTGCACACAGTTCCAAGTGATTTCTATTTGCACATCATACACCACACTGCATTTTCATTTCAGGTATTTACTTTTATTTCTTGGGTTGCTTCCTCTTTATTGATTACCATGAACTTGGTTTTCTTAACACTCATTTTTAGATCATATTCCTTCCTTCCTTTGTTGACTTACGGAGCAACCTTTGCCAACCACCTACAGTCCCATCTAAGGTAAAGGTAAAGTTTCCCCTTGACAATTTTTGTCCAGTCATGCTCAACTCTAGGGGGCGGTGCTCATCCCTGTTTCTAAGCCATAGAGCCAGCGTTTGTCCGAAGACAATCTTCCGTGGTCACGTGGCCAGTGCGACTTAGACATAGAACACTGTTACCTTTCTACCGAGGTGGTCCCTATTTATCTACTCACATTTGCATGCTTTCGAACCGCTAGGTTGGTGGGAGCTGGGACAAGCGACGGGAGCTCACTCTGTCACCTAGATTCGATCTTACAGCTGAAGATCTATGGACCCTCAGCACAGAGGCTTCTGCAGTTTAACCCGCAGCACCACCACGTCCCTCTACAGTCCCATCTAGTAATACTCTATTGGCTGAAACCCTGTTGCCTAGTGCAGTAATTTGCACTAGAGTAGGACCATTGAATTAGAGGGAGTGATTCACCAAATCCTCTGTTAAGGTGCCATTTACTACACTAAGGAAGAGGATTTCATCCACTGCCCATCAGATGTTGCTAGTAACCTATGGACAAAGAAGCTGCCATCTGAATCAGCAAATGCTTCTCCAAAAATATTCTTAAGCTACAAATTGAAGAGCTGGTTGGGCAGATCAGTGTTTTAGCTGTCTAACTATGGAGCCAGACGTTGAAGTTCGATTCCCAACTGTGCCTCCTGTGAATAGAGCCAGCCTGTGTGGTCTTGGGTCGGCTGCCCCAGTTCCAGGGCACCTCCAGAAGAAAGGAATGGTAAACCACTTCTGAATACAGGTATTGGGAAAATCCTGCAAAGGGCCGTCATAAGTCAGAATTGTCTTGATAGCACATGATAATTATTGTTACAAACTGAAAGGTAAATAGGAAAGTATAGATCCTTCTCTCACTCTCCTTCTTTCTCTGTCATGAGGCAGTTACTTTTGACCGTTAGGGAGCCACTTTTGAACCAGCTGCCATAACCACCCTTTTAGCAGCAGTTTGATGTGGTTGCCTTCCATTTTTACGTCAGAAGATGGGGTAAGCCACTAAAGAAGGGCCTCCCTTTAGGAATTACTTCTATGTAGAAATCTGAACTAGAGAACTTCTGCTGTTTTTGGAGGTGGGTGGGAGAAGATTAAATATAACTCACCTTTTGTAATTTTTGGCATCATCTGCTCAAAAGTAACCTTCAGTTTCTGGAGGCTCCACATGACTTCATTAAAAAGTTGCCCATCTGCAAAGCAAAAGCAAGAGAAAAAAAAAGGACTGAAGGGGTGTGAGTTAGGAAATGGTGGGTCTTACTTGCTTTTCCTCTGAGCCCTGGAGAAGGCACACAGATAAAGTGGGAGTTCCTGAGGATGCTGGATATGTAAACCTATGGCAGGGAGACTCCCTGTGGCCATGCTGCCAGAGGATTTCTGGAAGATGTCTAAAAAAGTAAATTTTTCAGGCTACAGTGGGTTCTGATCGTAACTATGGTGGTTGTAAGTAGTTGTATACTGCTTTAATTGCCATGGCACTCACCCTGGTACTATGTAGTTTGATGAGATTTTTTTACAGTTCTCTTCAGCAGAGCTCTACTGTTCACATTTGGAGGTAGATATGGAGGCAGGGACAGATTTTACTTTCCTCGGCTCCATGATCACTGCAGATGGTGACAGCAGCCACAAAATTAAAAGACACCTGCTTCTTGGGAGGAAAGTGATAACAAACCTTGAGAACATCTTAAAAAGCAGAGACATCACCTTGCCGACAAAGGTCCGCATAGTCAAAGCTATGGTTTTTCCTTTAGTGATGTATGGAAGTGACAGCTGGACCATAAAGAAAGCTGACCGCTGAAGAATTGATGCCTTTGAATTGTGGTACTGGAGGAGGCCCTTGAGAGTCCCCAGGACTGCAAGGAGATCAAACCTATCCATTCTAAAGGAAATCAAACCTGAGTGCTCACTGGAAGGACAGATCCTGAAGCTGAGGCTCCTATACTTTGGCCATCTTATGAGAAGACTCCTTGGAAAAGACATTGATGATGGGAGTGTAGGCAAGAAGAGAAGGGGACGACAGAGGATGAGACAGTTGGACAGTGTCATTGAAGCTACCAACATGAATTTGACACAACTCCGGGAGGCATTGGAAGAGAGGAGGGCTTGGCATGCTCTGGTCTAGGGGGTCACAAAGAGTCGGGCACTAAACAACTAAACAACAACAAGAACTAATGCTAAATTCTTTAGCAGAAAATTCTAGGAATCCCACCAAGCTATAAATCCTAGGCATCTTTAAGATGGAGCCATGGCAGTTAAAGTGGCATTGGACTGGTGTAATTGTGCAATGTAGATACATTTCCAAACTAATGTGGAAATCAACATGAAATAATATAGGAGACTGCTAGCAAAATATGGTATATATCACATGAGTAGATGTACGGACCCTTTGATGTTGTAGACTATGCTGTTGTGTTGGTTCTGTAATAATGTTTCCATGTGTACACTGGAAATATATATTTCTTTAAATTTCTTTATCTTATTAGAACAAGAAATTCATAAAAATCAGAGCAAGCTGTTGAGGCCTTTGTAACTCTTCACCAGTCCATTAATTACCTAAAGGAGAGGTGGAATGGAAAGGACCAAAAGCTGAAAACCTATGTCTAGTTGTAGTCTTAAGAAGACAGATTGTTTTATGCAAGTTTGAAAATATGGGTTTCCATGTGGATTGTTTTACAAAGAAGAAATCTGCTGATTTATGCAGAAAGAAGACTTATATGGGCGAGCAGGTCCTAAGTGAAGCATTCCAGAAATAGACTGAATTCATCTGCACCCATAGTAAAAGAAGGGTGTGCTGTTTCAGAAAGACCACAAGAAGGCACTGTCTAGTTGATTGAAAATGGTTTTGAGGGTTCACAAGCCAAAAGAAATTTTGTGTTTGGGAAGCTGGCAGTGTGGGTGCATGGGGGCAGGAATCACAAAGTAATTGGCAAACCATTTGGTCTTAAGAGCAGGGTATAAATTTCTAACTATGCTGCAAGAATGATATTTGAGACCACACCCTCCAGATGAGGTTTGCAACCTGACTCTGAAATTACCCCTTCAAACAGACTTGGCACAGGCATCTACCATCAATTTTCGGATTCTTATCTGTACTTTTTCTGCACTGTCTATGAAATGGCGGTGCTAGCCTGATAAAGTGGAATTTTCTGCATGAAAACTTGCAATTTGTTTGAGTTTTGTTTGTTTGTTTGTTTAATGGTCCAATAATGGACCACTCTTACATTTGGAGTTATAAATCACAACAAGAGTGAAGCTACCATACACTACTGTCTCTTGGAGCCTGGCATGAATATTTTACTGTGTAATCCCTGGATTCTAACTCTGAAGAAGAGGACGATATTCCACAAAAGCTTGTATGAATATGTAGCAGTTAGTCTTCAAAGTGCCACAGCATTTTTTTCCTTTTCTCTTCTTTTGTTATTTCTTGCTGAAATTCTTACATTTGTGTAATCTTAAAGACCAAACAGCCTTTTCCTAATTCCTTCAGTGCATTGTTAGCCAACTATCAACCCACAAATGAATCAAGTGGATTCATCCAAAGCAAAGCTATCTTTACATATATGTCTTGAAAAGCTCAACACAGACTAACTATTGATTTAATACATTTCAGTATAAAGATCAATTCAGTAAATTCTTGAAAGCCCTTCGGGAGGCACCAGATTCATGTATTCCGTATGGCAATTCAGTAACATTCATTTCCACAAGTCCCCACCTTCAAAATCATTCTCCATGATCCGGTATATAGAGCGTTTGAAGTAAGCAGCAAGTCTTGCTAATGTAGATTCATCTGAGGAAAAGAGAAGAAAGGAACCTTTGTACAAAAGCAAAATACATCCGCTTTCCTTCCTTCCCCCCTTCTAAAACATATTTATTTTACTGAAAATATTTTACCTCACCCTTCTCCTTAAAAAGGACTCAAGGCAGATTACATCATTAAAATACTATGTTTAAAGCAAAAAACTGTAAGCATACAAATATTTAAAAGAATCAAATAAATACCACAGTAAAAATGGTAAACCATATCAATAGCAAAAAGGGATTCAAAGCAACAAGGCACAACGCTCCATTTAAAGTCTTCTCCCAGACAGCCAGTCACTAAGGGAAAGCCAGTCTGAAGATGAAGGTTTTCGTCCACTTGTGAGAAGGAGTTCCAGAGTCTGGTGGCAGCGACAGAGAAGACCCTCTCCTGTGTCTCCACCCAACACACCTGTGAATGTGATGGGATCGAGAGAAAGGCCTCCCCTAATCATCTTAAAACCTGGGCAAGTTCATAAATTTATTTATTTATTTGATTTATTATCATTCCTTCATATCTGTCTAATGCCATTATATAGCAGTATCCTGCCTAGTTTCAATTGCCTTCTGGGTGACTGAGCTCACTTAGCTCAGCGTGATTTCCAAAGTAACCCTTTCCGCTTACACCCAAGGATCCATTCTCAACCAGGCATCTTCTCGAGGCACTTGATTACATGCCATTTCTATCACCGGCAGCCCGTAGAGCCAGAGACCAAAAGGCAGGGGCTTAAAAGAGTTGTACTCCAACATGGTTGCCAATAAGTATGGTGAGAAAGGATGCCATAAAGTAGAAGTGGGAGTCATGTACCTCACCTGGGGTGGTGGCATTTTTTTTTTCAAAACCAAAAGTGACTGGGGAATTAAAAAATGTGACAAAATTGTCTCTTTCTGCAAAGGACATGAGGGCCTTTGTAAGCTAAAAATAAAAATTGGGGTGTGGACAGCCCTCTGAAATTGGAGAGCATGTGAGGTCCCTGAATCTCAGGCAATTGCCCATCCCCTGGAGGCATACCAATCACCGCCATATATTTTTTCTTCTCAATAGGCCGATGTGACAAGTCTTCTATGGCATTGTCCAGGAGTTCCTGCAGTTTTGTTCTAAGTTGAGGATCTCCACGGAGTTTCCTCTGCAGGAAGTGATCTCTGAATTCCCTCTTGACTGCCATGGCATCTTGGCTGCACTTTAAGCAGCCCTGGGATTCTGTGACAATCTGGGTTATTAACCAAAATACTCGCCAAGACATCACACTTTGTTATGGTTTCCAGAAGTGGACCTCATGTTGCTTAGAGATGATGTCATAGCAGTGACATCACAAAGTCTGCATGCTCAGGAACAGTTAGAACCAACGGGTGGATCTTTCACTGCCATGATGTGCTTATGGCAGTATATGTTTTCTTCTTTAAGAACACAATATGGTGTAATAGAGTTCTGAATGTCTGGTAAAATTCCTTTTGCTACACAATAGAAGTAACACTCACAGAGGGGAATAGCTACAAAATCTTCCAGAGTTCAGCCTTTTCTCATTAACTGGCACTTAAAGTCTCAATAACTCTGAAACATTTGTAGGAGAAAGAATAGACCATATTCCTTGTGGCTTGAAATTACAGACTTTTGTATGATGCTCTCTCTACTGCACGCATACTTAGCAACCAACTTACCAAATCATCAACAAACAAAACCAACTGCTTCGAACAGACTAAAAAGAAGGAAAGAAACACTCAGCAGAGAGACAGGACTCTATTTGAAATCAAAGTCTGGAAGGAAGGATTGCTTAGTGCTAGATAAATATACAATCACCCCCACCCAGAAAAGTCCCGCCCGCTCACACAAACCACAGACAACATGAGAGGTTGCAGACAAAACTCTATCGTGTACGTAACAGATTTGGGCTGATATCCTTTCTTCTTAGAAAGCTCCTAGCTAGTACTGGGGCAGAAACAGGAAGCCTGGCCTAGCTAAGGCCCAAAGCTTTATAATTTAGGCCTTTTCACCAAAAGCATCACATTAGTGATAGCAAAAAAGAAAGAAAGAAAGAAAAAAAAAGTAGTCTGGAAAAGTAACATTTCTAATAGCTACTCTATTGGGGTAAATAATGGTTTCTTGCATACTAGGATATCTAGTGTGATGTAGAGGTTAGAGTGAAGGATTAAAATTTAGGAGACCGGAGTCTGAATCCCAGTTTGGCCATGGAAATCCAGTAGGGAAGGTGCAGAACTGGTAAAAACACTCCTTAATTATCTTACTTGCCTTGAAGACCCTTATTAGGGTCACTATGAGTCAGTTTCAACTTGAGGGTCTATAACAGTGGTTTTTAACCTTTTTGAAAGAAACGCCCCCTTGAGCCATTGAGGAAGTTATCACCGCCCCCCTCCCCGCGGGGATGATATCTTTCTTATTTATTTATTTATTTATTTATTTATTTATTTATTTATTTATTTATTTATTTATGAC